TGGCGCCGGGGTCGGCGACGAGGGGGTTCTCGAGAAGGGCGTCGATCTTGGCGTGGGTGAACTTGGCCTTGTCGCCTAGCTCGGGGTGTTCCATGGCGTTGACGGTGGCCTTGGCGCGCATCCAGGAGGTCAGGACGTTATCGATGGGGAAGAGACCGGAGAGGGCGCCCCATTCGGTGGTCATGTTGGCGATGGTCAGACGGTCGTCGACGGGGATGGAGCGCATGGTTTCTTCGGAGCCGGTGAACTCGATGGCGTGGTTGAGAACGTCGTCGTTGTTGAAGAGGCCGCACAAAGCGACGATCACGTCCTTGCCGGTGACACCTGGGGGAAGAAGGCCGGTGAAGGTCACCTTGGCGATGGGAGGGATCTGCCACCATGTCTTGCCCGTAGCCCAGATGGAGGCCGCATCGGTACGCACCATGGGAGTGCCCAAGCAGCCGACACCGCCGTACATGTTGCTGTGCGAGTCGGAGGCAACAGTGACGGTTCCTGGCCACGCGTAGCCCTCCTCAACCATGATCTGATGGCCAATACCCCGACCGGCAGGGTAGAAGTCGACGCCGTGGGTCTTGGCAAACTCCTCGATCTGGCGGTACTTCTTGAGGTTGGCCTCGCTCTTGTTCTGAACGTCGTGGTCGAGGGTCATGACGACCTGGCGGTTATCGTGGATCTTGGAGGCGCCGATAGACATGAACTTCATGGCGACGGGCCACGAGTTATCGTGGGTCATGCAGTGGTGAGGCTGGAGCGTGACATAGTCGCCGGATTTGACCTTCTTGCCGGGGGCGAGGCCGACCGAGTAGCGCTGGACGATCTTCTCGGTCAAGGTCTGGGGAACCGAGGGGACGACCTTGGGGAGGGTCGAAGAGGCCAGGTTCTCGAGCTGCGAAGGGAAGGCATCTTGGAGACGGCGAGAGGTGGTGCTGTAGTAGGAACCGCCGGCGGCGGCGCGAACACTGCGGACGGAGGTGGTTCTCGAGGCGGTTGAAAGGAGACGGGGGGCTCTGCTGGCAGCCACGGCCAGGGCTCTTCTCTGTGGAAGTGGGAGGGCGTGTTAGTCACAATGATATTGGCAATTGCAGGGTAAACATAAACAGAGAACATACCACGGGGTGAATCATGATGGACCAACTATCACGACTTACAACTGACCATGGCACTGCCGGGCAGAAGTTGGTGTTTTGGTTTGATATAAAGGTATGGCCGAGGAATTGGAAATCGAGTCACAGTGACTCGTTAGCGACTGGGGATGGGCCGGCAGTCAAGTCAACAGTGGAGTCCGGGGATACCTTACCATGGATGGCCCGGGGTGGCGATCCCGGCATGAAAATGTTTTGTGGGGGCTCCGGCACCGGCCGTCTTGAGCACGTCAGGTACGTCTAGCCGGGGAGGTACGTACCGGTGTAGCCCTTTGGGGATGGTGGTCCAGGCGGCGGGATCGGAATCAAAGAGATTGACCAAAGAGATCAAAATGGTAGGGCGCGCTTATCTTATCTCCTTGCGAGGTTAACTCGGCGAGGAATCCGAGAAAATCGGCATTCTGGGCGGTCATGGGGATCCTTCCGCTGGCACTTGTGTGTACGGGTGCCAACTGCCAAGCAACTTTGTTCAGGACAATCTCAAAGTCTCAACACACCACCACCACCGGCTTGTGATTGTCGTCGAAGTCTGTCACTGAGCCTACTTGTTAACTTGACAACATACTTGGATTGATTTATCCATGCCATGTCAATCAATGTCGGCAAGAACACATCAGTAGTGGAATCTCACCTGGTCCAAATTCTTCGCCGACTCCCAATTGCCGCTGACTAAGACAGCCACTTTTCACACTCTTGCGAACCGAATCAGGAAAAAGGCCACAGTAGAGGTATGTAGATGTACCTATTTCCATCATGCACCAACTATACGCGGATAACGATCTTGGATAGGCGGGTGCTCTCAAAGTTTCACCTTCTGGGTTGAACTACGCACAGCTGGGTCCCCTTTTCGCGGTTAATCAAAACCTAGAAGCACAAGCCACAAAGTGCTCCCAGATCGGTTGGCTGCATAAATCGAGACTTGGACAGTGGAAGCGCTGGCACCGCCGGAAAGTCCAGCACCCGACTGCCGATGCGGTGGAAGGGCTCCAAATATTCGCTCCAGTGAGTCCAATAGCCTTGCATCATTGTTGCTGAACTGGCTGCTCTATCCCCATTCATTTGATTTTCAAATGACTGATCAGCTCAGCCACGAAACCATGGTACAACGTTTCTTCAAATCACCTTGTTGATGAGGTGTCCAGCTGGGGGAGCCTGTGGGAGCCTCTTTTTCAGCCTCTTGTTCCATCTTGTCCACTTTGATGCTCGGTTTCGCTTTTGAGACGGCCGCCAAGATGCCAAGAAGAGCCCCATATCCACCCACTACCATACCTACCGCCGTCCGCCGCTGTGGTGAGCAGAGGTACACTTGGTACAAGGGGAGGCGGTAGAGATACCAGCACGATTTCTAATGCACTCACAGGCAGGTACCAGGTAAAGTTTTTGTGCATGTCGTTTACGGGATCGTCCCCACGATGCGGGAGTTCCATTTTCATGTCTTTGTCCAGTGCAGGCCAACAAGTCAGCGTCATATTCTCTTCTGTTTCTTCTGACTGCCAAATACACACGACAACAGGCTGTCACCATTGAAACATCAACATCCCTCCAACCTAAGTCAAGGCTCCTCTGTGGGTGAAAGGCAGGAGCAAAGAAGAGTGTTGTTCCCCACCGGCGCAGGAAGGAGGTACTACCCCAGTACCCTCAGTACCTGACCCATTCATCATCACACCCCATTGCCCTGAAAGGCAGGCACCAATCCTACAAGGGAACCGGAGAGTTTCCCGGTCGTTGAGGTTCTCGCGGCCTTTCACATTCTTTTCCTTTCCACTTCATTTCGCACTTTTTACACTCGCTGGGTCTCGACTTGAACACCAACTCATTACATACTAGATACATCAAGTACTGAGAACTTGGGCTTATTTTGGGCCTGGTATCCCCAACCGTCTAGTACATAGTCGTTTTCTCTCGTCGGATCTGACTTCATCCGCTGGACTCTCTTTGTTCACTACCTACCAGGCAGGGTACATCTCCTGTAGATATACTCGCATCATCTCTACTACAAGAGTATCGCGGCATCATCACCCAGCAGCAATCACCAGATCCGACGACATCGGCATCGGCTCATGGAAACTTTTCCAAACGTGCCCATGGCCCTTCGTCCCTCTGCCTCTGGCGCTGCTCCAGGGGTCTCAACGGCTTCTTCAGGGGCTGATCCGTCCGCCCTATCAGCCCCTTCACGACCAGCTTCGGAGCCTCCACGTCAACCTCCGTCTCAGACTCAAACCACCCAAGTCCAAACGCCAATTCAGCCTTCATGGGCCCAAACTCCTGGCTCTACTGCAGAATCTCCATGGGGAGACCAGTCTCCGGCCCAATTGGATTCTCCATGGGACCGAGCTCAAAGTCAGGATCCCTCTCAAGACCAATCTCAGAGCATTCAACCTCAGCAACAACAACAAATACGCTACGCCAAGTCGCCTCGTATTCTCGCTTGTCAGCTATGTCAAGGAAGAAAGATCAAGTGCAATCGAGTGTTCCCCTGCGACAACTGCAAGAGGGTTGGCCGTCCCGCATACTTCGATCCCCCCGCATAAGCATGCTAACCTCGTCTCACAGTCCAATGTCCAGTGCATACCCAGTAAACCGGCACCTCTTAGAAAACGTCGGCCACCGCACCAAGCGCTCCAGGAAAAGCTGGCTGCCGTGACGGAAAAAATGGAGCAAATGAGGCGTGAAATGGATGCTGCCAAAGCAGGTGGTCATGGTATTGCTGTTTCGGTCACGCCGACACCGACTGCTTCTGCTTGGAAGTCCAAGGGAAACCCGACACTGATCCAGGAGGAGGGCGGTGTCCGTTACATGGACTCTCTACTGGGCACCGTGTACCAAGAGGTATGCTAGCCATCTTTCACGTCCTGGTCTTCGGGCTTACCAACATTTATACAGCTAGGGGAAATAAGAGCCATGGTGGACAAGGAGTCTGCTCTTGATGAAAGTTCACCCGCCTCCTTTGCGCCAGCCGATGGCTCAGAGCTGGTCATCGGTCCCGACACTCCAACCGTGGATGTCATGTCCTTCTGGCCTGAACCCGGTCTTGTTTGGTCGCTCTGTGACATTTTCTTCCAGAGAGTCAACCCGTTGATGAAGATTATCCATAAGCCGACGCTGGAGAAATATGTCCCGGAAGCGTCTAGCGGGCCATTCGGGCTTCGTTCCAACATGCGAGCCTTGTTCTTCTCTATCTTTGTAATGGCGGTCGTGTCGTTGGATGCAGATGAGTGCATGAAGCGGCTAGGCTACGACAGGGAGCAGGCTCTTCGGAACTTTTCTCAAGGTGCTCGCTTGACATTTTTACGAATGGGCTTCCTCAGCACAAATGATCTTACTACTCTCCAGGCCTTTACTCTTTACTTGGTATGCCATCCCTCCTCTGTCGTGTTCGGAGCCCCCAATGCTGACAATCACAGACATCGCTCCAAGGCCGATTCAATCCTCATGTCACTTGGATTCTGCTCGGCACTGCCATACGTCTGGCTCGAAAATTGGGTCTTCACGTTGATGGCAAACGGTTAGGGCTACCGCCCTTCGAAACCGAAATGAGAAGGCGGCTTTGGTGGCAGCTTGTCGTGCTCGATGCCAAATGCGCAACGACATCCGGCTTCAAGTCTGCGGCAGTGGTGCGAGACTTTTCCACCGAGCTCCCCAGAAACCTCGAAGACGCCGACATGCACCCCGATGCTAAAGAAGACTTTGTAGAACGCGATGGCCCCACCGAGATGATCTTCTGCCTCATGATGTACAAGGCCACTGACTTCCTCCTCACCAACGGGCAGGATTTCGAAGGTGTCCTGATTGCGGCCGACCTGCCAGGCAGCCACGCGCCTGGCTCCGACGACCAACGTCACCGCCGCACTGTCGAACAACTCGCTCTCGAGTTGGCAGCGTTTACAGATCGCTACCACTTGCACCCCGCCAACGGCCCGGTGCACGCGCTGGCTTCCAAGTTGAAGGAATATTTCATCAAGAAACTCTGCAATGCCAAACCTCAACCCCCTTCTACTTCTGACCAACAAGGTCCCGACGATGTCGACCGCGCTTTCAGGTTAGCCATCATTGACCTCGAGCACAACGAGCAAAACCTTGATAACAACGACCCTGCTTTCTTCTGGTTTTCGCGCATGTACTTCCAGCCATTCAACTTCATGTACGTCGTCTCGCAGCTGTGCCAGGTCCAGTCCCCGCCCGCCAGTGATGAGCAGAACACGAAGACACCAAACATCAAGACCGAGTTAATCGATCGCGCTTGGCGGCAAATCTCCTTTGTCTACAAACTCAATACCGACCTGTTCGACATGACAAACCGGTTGTACTTCCAATGCGCGCGCAAAGTCCTTGAAGCTTGGCAGAAAAGGTCTGAAGCACTCCTCAGGCAGACTGGCACACGGCCACCTGTTCCGGCATACGTCGAAAAACTCGCGAGCATCATCGGTAACGGTAACAGTAATAATAACGGCCGCTCTTTGCCGGCAACAAGAACAGGGAAAGGGACAGTACCGGCGGCCACAACACTGGCCTCAACGGCAGGAACTGTGTATACCGTTGGTAACAGCTCCTCGTCGCTTCCACCTGGGCCTGCTGTTAGTGCAGGTCCCGGTGCCATTTCTATTCCCACGACGCAGGCACTGGGCCAAGGGCCACCACAAGAACCTTCGCAGTTCATGGAAGGCATCGTCGACTATATGGACCCGAATATGGCCTTTGCTGGAAACTTGTGGGGAGATGGAGGGTTTGAAGATCAGTTCCAGCAGTCTCAGATGCCGATGATGGATATGATGGAGGATCCGACGACCGGTGTGTTGTATAGCGGTCCGCCTTATTATTATCCCGATACGGAAGGAGGCGGGGAGCCGTCAAGGGGGATGTGGTGAGTGGTGGGAGGATAGCCATTGAGCCTCTACCCATCGTCGATCGGCCTTTTTGAGTGTCGGAGCGAGGTTTTACGGCACGGTTTCCCATCAGCGTTCAGACTTTGATACTCTGGATACCTCTTCTTCTTTACATTTCACTTGATCTAGCATCGCATCGCCCCTCATCTTTTTTGGATTTTTTTACCGAGCGACATCTTTTGGATAACCGGCATTGTAGGATATGTGTACTAGATCTTCTTCTCTTATCTTCAGTTCATGTAGTACCAAAGTGTTCTTGTTTATAGATCATCTGAGTGATAAGTAAAACAAAACGGGTATTAAGACGGGCCGACCGGCGCAACATTTACTCCGGCGTAACCTCATGTTACCTGCGGTGATGACATGGGTGAAAATAAGGTGCAAGTGCTAAACATATCATTCTTTTGCTCACATGCTCACCTCCATGTCAGGCAGGTCTGGTGCCGTGCACATTTGTAAAAGTCTCGAAGCATCTCATCTTACTCTAGAGTAGAGGTATGTAGGGTATGGTTGGTAATCCGAGGTTGGTCAGCCACCGCAGCAATGTCACCAGCAAACCTTGTGCGACATGAATGAAGAGCAAGATATAAGCACATAATTGTTTTCTAATCAACACCTATGCACTTCGAGAAAAGCACGTTTACACGACCCAAAATGACGACGTTTGATCATGAGGTGCTGTATTCTTACAAGATAAGCTTGACTGGCTGACAGGTCTGTAAGTCTGATAAATGATGAAAGATAGGGTGAAAAAAAAAAATGGAAAAAAAGATGGACCGGAAACTATCCGGCGGAGAGATTTCTGGCCCGGTCGCCGCCCGTCGCCCATGTCGCCGAAACGGGAGATCTACGATCTACGGCCTACGCTGAATATAGGTCGCTAGCGTGTACGAACAGCTGCACTACACGTGTAGGGGCTCAGGGGGTTCAAAACAGCGACAATCGCTTTCGGGAGAAGTGCCGGTTCTGTCTCAAAAAAAAAGGTCAATCCCAAAAAAGAGACATCGTAACGATCGCAGGAATTGCACATGCACACCGCGATGTTCGGATTTTAAGGTTGAGGTACGGTGACTGGATTGCTTGTGTTCCAGACTTCCAGTAACTTCTAAACAGGCCTGTACCATATCAGTCAAGTCTTAAAGGATTTTACCGACGCCACGGAGTTGGGTGGAGCTTCGACAGTGAAGCATTAATAAGCGTGGCACGAGTTTGGTATCCGCTTCGTTGCGACCCAAGATCTCGGGACGGAGAACTGTCCGAACGGAAAAGACTGGCAGTTGATACCTATATAAATTGATATAAACTGGGTTTGTTATCTTTCCTTCTAATTTTCTGGTATCTGGTTTGATTCATTCCTCATTTCTCATTCTGGGTTCTCAGTCTTCATCCAACTCCACTGTAGTTCTTCAATACCAGTCCAATTCCTTCCAGTTCAGTTTAGTTTATTTCAACACCTCCAGTCCAACACCAACAAAGACACCTTCAACACCACCACCAACGAGCCACAGGCCCCGGCCATCACACCTCTCACAATGTCCTCCCCAATCTCCGACCTCAAGTTGGCCCAGCCTTTGACCCTCCCCAACGGCCTCGTCCTGCCCAACCGGCTCATCAAAGCCGCCATGGCCGAACAGCTCGGTTTCGGCAACCACCTTCCCAACCCCGAACTCAACGCGGTATACGCCACCTGGGCGCGCGGAGACTGGGGCATGATTTTGACAGGAAACGTCCAAGTTGACCCATTGCACAAGGGCGACGCGCACGATATCGCGCCTGGTCACCCTGGTACCACGCCGGAGCAGACGTTGACTGCTTTTAGGGCTTGGGCTGATGCTGCGCTTCTTAAGTCTGACGGGGTGGATGGGAAAAAGGAAAGTAAGACGCCCGTGGTGATTCAGATTAATCACCCCGGCCGCCAATCGCCAATGGGCGCTGGAACGAGGGGATTTTTGGAAAAGGCGGTGGCGCCGAGCGCGGTGCCGTTGGTTCTTGGGGAGGGGTTGGTGCCTAGACTGGCTTCTAAGCTCCTTTTTGGTACACCCCGTGAACTTACCGTCCCGGAAATCAAGGACATCGTCAAGAAGTTTGGCGCCACCGTCAGAATCACTGCCGAGGCCGGGTTTCAGGGTGTAGAAATCCATGCTGCGCACGGATACTTGCTTGCACAATTCCTGTCGAAGAAAACCAACAAGCGGACGGACGAGTACGGCGGGTCGGCGGAGAAGCGGGCGAGGATTGTGGGGGAGATTATTGAGGAGTGTAGGAGGCAGGTTAAGGAGGCGCTGGGTGAGGACTCGGAAGAGGCGAGGAAGTTTGTGGTGGGGATTAAGCTGAATAGCGCGGATTTGGCAGACGGGTAGAACAGGAAATGCGGAGGAGACGGATACCACCGAGGAGGTGTTGAGGCAGATTGAGCTGTTTGAGCAGTGGGGGGTGGATTTTGTGGAGGTTAGTGGTGGGAGTTATGAGGATCCTCAGGTGAGTTTTTTAGTTTTTTTTTCCCTTTTTTCCCGCATTCTTCGGTGGAAGAAAGGAGTTGTTTCCCTTGTTCCCCCTGGCGAGCTCGAGAGACACATACTGACTGGCAAACCCAACAGATGGCCAACGGCCCCAAGCCCGAGATCAAACAAAAATCCGAACGCACCAAAGCCCGCGAGGCCTTCTTCCTCGAATTCGCCAAGATCATCCGCACCAAGTTCCCGCAACTGCCGCTCATGGTCACCGGCGGCTTCCGCACGCGTCAAGGCATGGAGGCCGCTCTGGCCTCTGACGACTGCGACATGATTGGTATCGGCCGTCCGGCCATCATCAACCCTTCGCTTCCGGCCAACTTGATCCTCAACCCTGAGGTTCCCGATGCGGATGCCAGGCTTTTTGACAAGAAGGTCGAGCCGCATTGGATCTTTGAGAAGTTGGGCATGAAGAGCGTTGTGGGCGCTGGTGCGGAGATTGGTTGGTATGTGAGCGAGCTGAAGAAGTTGGCTAAGTTTTAGAGAGTCGGAGTGAGGGATGGAGTATGGGAGGTGGTAGAGGATACGATACCCATTGCTTAGAGTTATGATAGAGGTTTTGGCATTAGATAGATAGAGGCGTTAATATTGGTTGAATAACTCTGATTATGTGCTGGTGAACTCGTCGTCCGTTCATCATTGGAAAGTGTTGCGAAGGCCATGGATCAACAACCACCGAGGTTCGCTGCTGACATGGGAGCAGAGCATGGCGTCTGGAGGCCTTGATGATAGGCATGTTCATCGATTATACAGACAGTCGAAATGGAGATCGCGTGGTTGAACAGCAGGACGGCCAATTGTTTGATATCGAACATTGACTGGAAAGTTGAAGTTGAGCGAAAAGGTCGACGGGATGAGACAACGCGAACGCCAAAGCGCGGGAGGTGCCGAACGCCCCAGCTCACAGGGCATTAGATATTTGCACTAACAGTTTCTGCGGTAAAACCCTGCAAACTGAGTTAGCACACGCCACAATGTTGTTCACTGCACCGCTTTGGTCCGGATTTCCACTCTGACCTTCAACGTCGACTCTATGGTAGTTCATCCCGTCAAGTTGAGAGAGAGGACTTTCTAATCGGAAGAACATCTGAATGACTGGTTTGGGATTCTAGTTCCAGTGCTAATTCCTCTCAAGGTCCTAGACATTGTCATTCACATATTGGAACAATCTGCCGATTGATTCCAAAGAGATTATCACTAAATCTCACATTTCCAACTTTCAGGTACAACAATTCTCGTTGATCTAATATTCAAGTAGATCACACGCAAGCCCGAGAACATGCCCCATTCTTTCAAAAGGGCTCAAAGTGACCAACTTAGTAAGGATCGAACCTGAACAAAATAAAAAAAAGAGAACATACACTGGCCACAGAAGAAAGACTGGGAACCAGACAACGCCTAAATGAATTAGGGAAAAAATCACGAAAAAATTTGGGGCCACCCGGGGATTGAACCCGGGACCTCTCGCAAGAATGCTCAGGATTGAACCCTAAGCGAGAATCATACCACTAGACCAGCGGCCCGTATTAGTTGATGAAAGGAAGTCTAAAGCAAGAGCTTATATCATCCACTCGATTATCTTCGGTACTATAGTGTCTGGTGGTTGGAGGTTCCGGTGGTTGCGGTATTGACGGTGATGGTGATGCCGATGTGAACAGACGAGGACTTGCCCTGGTGAGTCACTTGTCGATGTCCATGACAAAACGGTATGGTATTGTTTAATTTGTGCTACCACGATATGAAAACCCTCTCAATGTCGTGGCCCTCTTTTGCAGACCTGGAAACAAGGGTGTAGTCACGTCGTTCAACAACCGACCACGCGAATAGTCCTCCTCGGCCTCTCTATCCGTGAATCAAGTCACACACCCGAGACATCAACAGTAGACGCGGCAGGTACGGTACTCTTTGGTCTTCTTATCCGTTCATGTTATACACTCAATATCAATTGACGGCCAGATAAAGATAGCAAGTGCTTTCCCACATCCCGTGCTCATCCGCCCGCTCGCTTCCAGCAAGTTGCTCGTAAAGAAGCCACCCCCATTTTTATGGACCTTTTGGTCTTCCCTTTAGGGTAGTAGTATAATACACATTTGAGTTACACAAACACGAAAACCACAACATAAGTTAATCTTGATTTCTTTTCCACTCATTCATTATATTCCACATATAGTAGTAACATCAGGGAAAGCCAACCCGGCAAAGCCCGTATCAAGGGTCGCCTTCGTCATCATGGCTGAACCTGGTCCGAGGTGCTCATGGACCTCTTTTATATGATTTCAAAAGGCATAGATCAAGGTTTCTTAACCCATGACCATACCCTTCATGCCCTGAAGATCACCCTCCTTGGCGGCAATCTCGAAGTAGCCGTAGATGATGCTGTAAGAAGCCAAGGTTAGCAATTGGTCTTTCATCAACAATCGGGTGACAAAGACATTACTTACGTGACAGCCAAGAGAGTACCGGTACCGGAACCAAGAGCGCCCATGAGGTCGCTGGCAACAGAGAGAGCACCAATGCAGGCACCACCGAAAGCGGCAGCAGTAGGGATGATGCGCTTGAGCTCCTTGTACATGCTCTGCTCGCGGTGGCCGGCCATGACGAGACCCTGGTCCTTGAGCTGCTTGGCAACATCGCGGGGGCTGGAGCCGGAAACCTCAATCCAGGTCTTGGAGAAGACGGCGCAGGCAGTGAGCATGTAGGCGATGTAGACGGCAGTGTGGATGGGGTCGAGGAGAGCGTCCTTGAAGTTGAGAGGAGGGCTCATGTAGTAGACGAGACCGGAAACGGCAGAGAGCTGGGCAGTGCCCTCCTTGGCCTCCCAGACACCGAAAAGACGGACCAGAAGGTTCTCGGAGAAGCGAGAGTAGAGCATCTGGCTGATCAGGAAGACGTTGGAGGAGAGAGCAGACTGGAGCATGATGGGCATGTTGGAGGTGTAGAAGAGGCGGATGGGGTAAGAGCCACGAGCACCACGCTGGCGGGAAGACTTGACGGGGATCTCGACGCGGAAGCCCTGGAGGTAGATGACGGCGGCGAAGACGAGGAGGGTGGCGAGCAGGTTCATGATGTTGGGGAGGTTCTGGCGGTAGAAAGCCTCATAGAGAGCACGCTGCTTGTTGTCCCAGGTCATGAGGAGGTGGAAGAGGGCAATGACAGCACCCTCGTACTCGGGGCCACGACCGGTGTTGATGGAGGTGGGGGAGAACGCCTTCCACATGATGGACTCGCAGATGTTGGTGGCAATGAACAGCGAGATACCGCTGCCAAGGCCATAGCCCTTCTGGAGGAGCTCATCGAGGAGAATGACGATCATGCCGGCAACAACGAGCTGGAGGATAAGGAGGAAGACGATACCAGCACCGAGGTCGCTGGGAGGGCCATAGAGACCGGTGAAGACGTAGACAGTGGCGGTACCGATGGAGAGGATGACAGCGAACAGCTTCTGGGCGGTCTGGTAGAGCTCGCGATCGGCCTTGAGGTCGAGGTTGACGTCGATCATGTGGGTACCGGCGAGGAGCTGGAAGACCATGCCGGAGGAGATGATGGGGGTGATACCGAGCTCCATGAGGGTACCTCTGTTACTCGCCATCATCATGCGCAGCCAGTATAGCGGATCGGAGGTGTCGGACGAGACAATGCCGTAGAGGGGCATCTGGCTCATGACCAAGAAGATGAGCAGGGTCAAGCCAGTCCACATCAACTTTTGGTTGAAGGGGATCTTGGTCTCGGGCTGCTGAACCTCGGGGAGGAACGGCACGAAGGGCTTGACGAGGTCGAGGAACCGTACTGCATGGCGGGCTGGAGTTAGTCGCTGTGTGCAATCGAGTGAGGCATTGGTGGTGACTTGTAACGCGCCGACGCGTGTTTAACCAGGACTACTTACGGGAGCTCATGATGGGCAATGGGGGGGTTGTGGAGAGAAGGAAGAGAAAAGGGTAAAAAGAAGGAAGATTAAATTAAAACGGGCGACAACAGCCCTTTGTAAGGTTGGAAGCGCAGAAAAGTGTTGTCGGCGCTGCGTTGAATGGTTCAAGCAAGCAAGGAAAGGGGAAACGGAAAGGTGGAGGATGAGTTGGCGATTAAGAAGTGGAAGTGTGGAAGTGGAAGCTGGCCGAAAGCACGAAAGGGAAGGCGGAAGGCGGTGCGTCGCGAGATCTGTCCAAAAAGTCGCCCAAGTGTGATGTGTCCAATTTGGAGGGTCCCGGTGCTAGTGCTCTTGGGAAGGGACCCACTGCCACACGTGACTTGTAGCCAATGACAGCTGCGAATTGCATGGCCAGCCTTCTGGAGCTGGAACGAGCTTCTAACGTTTGCAGGGGACAGCAACCTCCAACTCGCACCCAGAACGAGGGAGCTTCATTCGGCAGGCAACATCCGGCCCGTCCAACAAGGCATCCCTCCACTTTCCAGCGCCCCTTGTTGAAACTTGAATCCAAATCGTTGGGGAAGCCCTGGACAGCAGCAGGGGCGGGACAGCCGCAGGGGTTAGGGGTCAGCGTGTGGATGCTGTCTTTCTTATCGATAACAACCCGTCCGTCAACTTTCTGGGGATTGAAGGTGGGCTTGGTGGGGTTGATGCCTGCCGGTGTCACTGCTTTGTCAATTCCAATTCAATCCCGTCTGGAACTTGGGGTTTTTGTTTTCTCTTTTTGCCCAATCCGTCAACCCCCGTCCCCCAGAGCAATGCGCCTCAACACCTCAATAAGCTCCTCCGATAACCGTCAATGAGGTGGACCATTCCACATTTCTCCCAGGCCATCCGATCCGTCTTTCGCACAGCAACAATGGCAGACCCTTTGGTTGTCATTTACGGGTCTACGGGCACCGGCAAGTCTGATGTACGACAGCTGCTACCTCCATCTCTACTTGACCAACCATGCGATTACCACTGCCACTCGTCCCATCTCCATGTTCCTGAGCGCTGATAACTTTCCTATGAGTCCAGCTTGCTGTGGAACTGGCGGCCCGATTCAATGGCGAAATCATCAACGCCGACGCCATGCAAATGTACCGAGGCCTGCCCATCATCACCAACCAGCTCAACCCCGAAGAGCAACGCGGCATCCCCCACTACCTTCTCGGCAACATTGGACTCGACGAAGAGCCGTGGTCTGTTACTAGCTGGAAGCGCGAAGCCACAAAGATCATATCGGGTATTAGGTCGAGGGGGAAGCTGCCCATTGTCGTAGGAGGAACCTCATACTACCTTGACGGCCTATTGTTCGACGAGAAGCTGGTTGAGTCCGATCCTGCGATGACCGAAGAGTCAGAGGCAGCCGCCAAAATTACACGCGAAGAACTCGCAAGCCAACACCCAATCCTTCGCGAGTCCGCCGAGGTCATGCTGGCCAAGCTACAAGAAGTCGACCCAGTCATGGCCGAGCGCTGGCATCCGAAAGATATTCGCAAGATTCGCAACTCTCTCGAGATCTATCTTACAACTGGCCGCCGTGCCTCCGACATTTATGCTGAGCAGCGAGCTCGAAAAGAAGCCAAGCGGGCAGGCCAACCACCGAGTCCCTGGAACTTGCTCCTGTTCTGGCTCTACGCCAAGCCCGATGTGCTTAACGCGCGCCTTGACAAGCGTGTGGACAAGATGGTAACCAATGGCCTCGTGAACGAGACATCGTCAGTGTACGACTACTTGCAGGGTCGACTTGCGGCTGGCGAGACCGTCGATCGCACCAAGGGTATCTGGCAGTCCATCGGGTTCCGCCAATTCGAATCATATCTATCAGCCGTCAAGTCAACCGAAACCGAGACTCCACAAGCCGTACTTGAAAAACTCAAGCAACAAGGAATTGAGGACACCAAAACAGCAACGCGCCAGTACGCGAAATACCAAGTCCGGTGGGTTGCCCGAAAGACCATTGCAGCCCTTCAGGAAGAGAACCTCTTGTCCAAATTCTATCTTCTTGACTCGTCCAACATTTCTCAATGGCACTCTGAAGTAGCCGAAAAGGGTAGCTTCCTACTGGCGAAGCATCTGGCCGATCGGCCACTACCACGCCCGGAAGAATTGTCGGAAACTGCGAGAGAGGTGCTAGCCAATCAGTTGGAAAGGAGCAACCGACCCGAGACGATATGCAACAAGACATGCGAGGTGTGCGAGAAGGAGTTCAGGATCGAAGAACAGTGGCAGAAGCACCTCAAGAGCAAGAAGCACCAGAAGGCCACCAGGTGGGCAAAGAGGCAGGCAGAGGGGTGGCCGACCAGGGGAGAGGGGAAGCGTGACAAAGCGGAAGGAACAGACGATGATGCCGCTGCTGATGCTGATGCTGACGATGATGGGCTAGTCCCAAAGCCCTAGTTTGGAAGCTGCGTCGCTGGATGAGCCAATTTCACCTGATACCCTGAGTATAAAGCCCACAATCCTCCCACCATTCCCCAATCTGATCAAGTCCATCCCGTACTCTTTGGATACACCCCCGCATTCTGCCTTCTACATCCAAACTATTCTGGCATCGATATCATCTCTTTTTCTCAGTGTCGCACCATGTCAACCCAACGGGTCCATCCTTTCTGGCTCGTTCTGACAGATGAGGACGCTCATGGCCTGCAACAGTACGGCGTGTTGGATCTGACCTATGAGTCCGGATACCAGGAACTGCACAGAGACTGCTTTTTCAGGCACGATGACATCTCAAATGCCCTACGCGGAAACCCGAAGCCGACCGACATGCTCAAGATACCATTGATTCTCATTTCACGCAGAGTCCTTATTTGGCTTGGCTTCAGTGATAAGCAGGCCGACCTCTTGTGGCCACCAGTTGAACGATTTCTCAACAAGAACGAAATCAAATCACTAAAAGATGGACAAGCCGCCCTATCGTTATTTCAAAACACCATTGAGTACCACATTCGTCGTGAGAACGTTTGCGATACAATCCCAGCTCTCAACACATTCACCGACGATGATAACGAATGGAGACAGATCCTTCACGCGTACGGTCTCTCCCAACAATTTGCGGACATGATCATGGACCCTCGTTTCCGTGAGCACCGACTAACCGAACCATGCATATACTGGATTGATGACACTCTGCGACAGCGTTGGGAATTGTTACTCAAAATACGCGAAACCTCCAGGAGGAGAACAGCTCGAATTTGGAAGAATCATAACTGGCACATATATCCGTCATCACCATCACCGTTATTGAAACTAGATCTTTTCAAAGCCCGTCAGCGGCACCGAGACCAGGAGGAAGACCAAAACAAAGACAAAGCACCAGACTTTTACACCACCATGAACCTTCCCTGGAGAGAATCAGTTCGCGAATCTAAATTTTTAAGGAGGTCCGGAGAATCGCAAGGTCTTCATTGCACATGCTACTTTCGCAAACACAGCAGAACATACAAAGCACAGAACCACTTCATACTGTACAAAGTCGTTACCGGCACACAGCTCAAGAACATTAGAATTTCTATCCCTGGCAATTTCGAATCTATGATGTCGTGGAACATCGACAGCTTAGCAGAGGGACCCAGAAGGCCGGAGCGGGAACCCTTTCTCTACAACGACGCCACCAGCGACGGCGACACTGGAAACGGAGGGGCTTCCGTGGGGCCACATAGAAGAGCACGCAAAATGCTCGTCTTCTCCACCCCTGACCGCGAACTCGCGCTGGCTGAGTACAAGTGGGCTGTACACCGGCTCGACAAGTCGGTCGGGACCGTTGACGGCGCCAAATTCGCAGGTGGTGCAGACGTGCGGATTTTGGAGATCCGCATCCCCATGGTAGAAATCGACGACCTCGTTGAGGCTAAGCTCGCCTACTTCAACCAGGACCCGATCGAATCGGACGTAGGGAATGCCATGTGGCAGGAGATGGGCATCTTGTCGACGCTGAAAGAGCTGATAAGGCCGCCGTCGCGGTTTGCCTCCTTCGAGACTGTTTGGTGGGAAAACAGGGGCCCGGATATCCAAGAAGCGAGGAGAACAATAAAACCAACTCTGCGTGCTATCAAAGAGGGAGAGTGGATTGTGCTTGGTTGTCCGGCTGTGAAGAGGAGGGCTGTATGGAATCTTAGTCTGAAATTTGTTTCGAGGAAGCTGATTCGGAAGGCCGCAGAAGAAGGCACAGCCACCTCTGGCAAGCCAGAGGAAACGACACCGACACCGACACCGACACCGACAACCAACAAAGACCTCCCCAAAACATCATCACCGTCAACCTCAGCGTCATCCTCGTTTTCCGGTGCCCGTCTTAATACTAGACAGGCCTTCGGGATGTTCTTCATCTACACAGGTAATCCCTTGAAACGGGTAGACGAGTACGTAATCAACATAACCGAGGATTGGATGCGGAAATGGCTCTTCGAGAGAATTTGTTACTTTGAGTCACACGAGGTAGTTCTGGGGGAATGAATGAGCCCACTGACGAGATAGTGAGAGGGTAATTAATGGATATACCTAGAATGAGAGGAAAAGTGGCGGACGCCGAAAGCGAAAAGCGGATACAATTACCATCAATCATTCCGTTAGGGGATATGGGGAATGGATATCACCACCACCAACCAGCGTTTGGTTGCACCTACTGTAATTCAATATGGCATCTGGGCAAAGAAGATAGGATATGTGAACAGCGAATATCAACAGGCTTAGTTACATTTAACTCTTTGACTCTTTCACTCCCAAGTTCGTTTATTCGTTTCAAGTCGTTGATCATCGTCCACTGGTTGGCTGCTCTGGAAACATCGCATCTTCTGCTCCCGCTCACAACTTGGTGTTAAGAAAAGAAATGCTCTCCCGCAGTTCCGCTCCAGGAGAGGAGATGACTGACTCCAGGAACTAAAAGAGAGAAGTGAGACCATATGTAAGTCTCCGACTGTAAATTCAACCAGACTAGAGCTCATATACTTGAAAAGATGAACCCACTCACTAGTCGTAGAAGCAGTCTTAAAATGGAGCGCCAAAAAGGGTGGGACCGAAAAGACGGGAAACAAACAAGACCCCCCCCCCAAAAAAAAAAAAAGACAAAATATGAAGGGATCAAGAGAAAAAAAGGTTTTGGGGGAAAAGAAACAAGAGAAGTTACCAACAAGAAAAGAGCAAGAAAGAAGAAGAGCAAGACCCCATAGAAATAAAAAAGAAGGAAGCGAGACAATACAAGGGGGGAGGGAGGAAGGATAGATAGGTAAATAATAATAACAAAAAAAAAAACCAAAAAAACCCCCCTGATATCCGAAAAGGGAGCGTGTTCCTCGCCATAAGCAAATGACACATGAATCAATCATCAAGGCATCAAGGCATGATGATGAACCAGACAGAGTAGTAGACGAAAGAAGACCTGGCCAAAAATAAATAAATAAATAAACAAATAAAATCCCTGGTAGGTAGATAAACATAAACATAAAACACAAACAAAAATACCTACTTACTACTTACTTACTTACTTACTTGATACTAATTAGTTTACATTCCATTATATTACAAATAGAACTAACTACCTAAGTGAACGAACGTACCAGGGGATCGGCGGACAAAAAAGTACCAGGTACCATAGTTATGTAGGTGTTGGTTAGTTGGTTAGTTTATGCTTACAAGTTAAGTAAGTAAGTAAGTAAAGTAAGTACAAGCATTAATCCAAACTAAAACTCTTCTTGCGATCTCTATCTATCTAGGTGTCTAGGTGCAGGCAGGTCGTCTACGGGTCTACGGGTGGGTCCACGGACAAAGACAGAAAACTGATCAGGGAAAGAGAAAAGGATAGTACGTTTCGTTCATTCATGGATATATAAGGCCCCCGCCTGCAGGGTATCATGGCTTGTAAAAAAAAGAAAAAAAAAAGTAAGTAGCGGTGCTGTGTATAGTCCTGCTTGTCTCAAACCTGGTCGAAATCTTGGACTTACAATGTTTCCACGTTCTGAGTGGAGTGGAGGGCAGCGTGGAACGGAAGATACACGGCATTTACAATGAATGGTAGCTTAATTATGAGGGTTGTCTACAGTAAGGCAGATTGGGAGGAGGGAAGGGAAGGGAAGGGAAGGGAAGGAAAGGGAAGACAAGGAAAGGAAAGGCAAGGAAAGGCAAGGAAAGGAAAGGTAAGGCGAGTATTGTGAGCATGTGCCGTGCTTAATTTTGTTCCTGGAGTATCATAAAATAACACGCAAAGTTAATGCAAACCGGAGGAGATTGAGTACTTAACGTATTTCATGTACTACCAAGTACTGTGTATATGCAGCCGTGCATATGTCGATCCCTTACTGGCACTGTAAATCTTCAAATTCACGACTAGTAATCTCTATCCACGGTTTTATGCCACCCTTCGTCTAGACTTAAAAGGTATGCAACGTTATACCTCCACACGTAGCATCATCGTCCCGACAGCACCTCTCGACCCCTCCAACATCCTCCCACACCCAAGCCCAACTCAGGCCAAACCCTGCTTATGTTCACTGATTCCCAACAACAAACCTAGCCGTAGCGATTCTCATCCTCTTGCCATACCAAATAACCGGTATCAACAACATTGAAAACACACCCAAGATAACAGTAAACCCCCCCCCGAAAACCACCAAGTATCCTTGTTTGGCTACCCACTCGCTCACGAAAAAGGTCCAGGCGAAGGGAATGAGGCCGCGTAGGATGCAGATCATGACGAAACAGTCGGAGGCGAGGTTGGCGTAGGAGTCGATGAGCTTTTTAAAGGGGTGTTAGTTGGATGGCTCTGGGAGATGATTTTGATGGGATGGGGGAGAAGATGAGGGAAAGGAAGGGGTAAAATGGTGAAAGTAAAGGGGGCTAGGATGGGAAGCGGGAAGGGGAAGGGGAAGGAGAAAGGGAGGGAAGGGGGAAGATGGGAAGGAAAAAGAGCAAAAATAAGGGCAATATGAAGGGAGAATAAAGAAGGGAAGGGGAAGGGAAAAAGGAGGAAGAATGAGAATATGAGAGAGGGGAGAGGAAAAGACGAGGGAGGGACAGAAAGGCAGTGGAAGAAAACACAACAAAACAAAATCTCACATAATTAAACCAAACCCCTGGCACACCCGCCACCCCAAAGCTGACCATTCCAAACCCAAACACCAGCCCAAGCCAACTATACCTATTCACTCCATACCCTCCACCTCCGTTTCCATCATTACTCAGTCCCGGTCCCACAGTCGTCGTGACGTTGCCACTGTCTCCCCCCCGTCACCGTGCTATTCCCAGCAGCGCCAGCACCACCAGCAGCAGCGACGTTGAGAGCAGGTCCATACTCTCCACAAAAACCCCAAACCAACAATCCACCCGTGGCAATGACCAGTCCCGGCAAGGCAACCAACAATCTACTTTCTGCTTCTGCGTAGCCGTAGTCGTTGTTTCCAAAGAATCTTTCCCGCCAGCTTTTTGACTCTTTCTGTTTTCTTCCCACCTCCACCAGTGCGTCCCCTTCTACTTCCAAGTCCCTGTCCCCTTCCCGTCCTGCTTCCGAGCCCTCCAAGCCCCTGACTGTGTTCCTCCCCTTTTTTTCCTTTTGGCCCACCCGAGAATGATTTGGTGGTGGTAGTCCCGGCAGCGGTACCAACTTTCATCTTCTCATCAGACAAAATACTAGCATACAACCCTCCCAATATAATCCCAATCAGCGCTCCACTGAACAGTAACAGCCCCGAATGGGACATAGTCCAATTATACGGCGGTGCAGCCAGCAGTGACGGTCCAAGTGTAGAAATGACGGCTACAGACCCGATGAGGGTGGAGTATTGCAGGGTAGCTACCCAGACTGGCAGTAGTCGAAGAGTAAGTAAGGGGGAGAGGAAGTGCATCCATAGAGATTTTTTCTTTGTTGGGAAGGGGAGGGTTGGTTGGCGCAGCGTGGAAGGATTGTTTGTCGAAGTGGACGGTTTGGGGAAATTGGGTGAATATGGGGAGTATGGGGATTTGGGGAAGGGGTTTGCGACTGAGTCAAAGGGGCGGGCGGGTGTGTGTTGTTGGGGTGGGAAGAAGCGGAGGGAACGGAGGTAGGTGTAGGGTTCGTAATGGGTGGATGCGTCTTCGGAGGAAGGAATGGAAGAGGCGGAGTCGCGGTTAAAGGGGCCGAGGGTGAACCGGTTGGAGAGTCCGATGGCGTTGTTCTCGGGTTTCCGGATGATAGGACGGTTTTGGTTGCCGCCTCGACTAAATGGGCGGATATTGATCTCGGAGGGAGGATAGAGGCGGTAGCGAGGACCTCGGGCGGTGGCTCGTCGTGCTGCTAGTCCTCCAGGACCAGGAGGAAGACCACCGCCAGCAGCTTCTCGTCCTCCCCGTGCTGCAGCGGTCGGTGGCGGCCTTAGACCCGTCGGTAGCGGAGATCCCCTTCCATAAACCGTTGGAAACCTTTCCTCAGAGTCATCAGATTCAGAGGCTGTTTCGTACCAAGTCAGTCCCAAGCGAGGGTCCCAATAGTCCCGGAAGTACTGAGGCTGGTTGGTATTGATGTTCAGCGGGGTATAGACGGAGGCAATAAATCGTGACGGCATCGTCATTCGGATCGACGGCAAAGTGCCCAAGCTGAGATATGGCGTGGGAACATGTTGGTGGTAATATCGTCGAACACCCGATCTTCGGTTGTGGTTCTCGTTCGCACCGTCAATCTCCTTTTCTTCCTCCCCAATGTCGTCGTTGCCGTTGTTTCGATGCCGATGTCGATGCCTCTCTCTCGGAGCAGTTGTGATAGTAGGAAAACATAACGGGCCCCTTTCGAAGAGTGTCTCGGGGACCAATAACACCATAGTCACGAACGCCATTCCCGTCAAGACGGTAGAGATCCAGAAGATGCCAAACCATCCGTACCTCGTTGCGATGTATCCTCCGCATATTCCTCCTATAACCGATCCACTGGCGAGACAAGCGGTATACAGAGCCTAGAAAAACGTCAGCGTCATCCATCTCTCGTTTCCATTTCCCCGTGAACTCACCATCCACCCACCCCTCTCCTGCACGAAAAACATATCGCCCACCACCGCCGGCCCAACAGTCTCCGACACGCTACTCCCCAACCCCTGAAAGATCCTAATGACCAGCACGCCCTCATACATCCCCATTCCATGCTCGGCCGTTCCAGACCCAAAATCTCTCGTACCGCAAACAGTCGCGATGAACAGGGTCAACGCGCTCAACACCAGCACGATCCTCCTCCCAAAGACATTGGCCAGCGGCACGAACACAATGTTTCCCAATCCGAGCAGGAGCACATTCAGGGCAGTGAAACGGCTGAGGTCCGACATCCCTCGAGGGTCAGTGGGAAAGGATTGGTTCCATATGGCTAGGGCGGGCGAGAGCGAGGCGGAGACAAAGGAGCAAGCAAAGGCGTAGTTGCAGAGGGTGCCGAGGCAGGAAAGTTTGCGCCAGCGGGCCCAGTTAAGGGGATCCGAAGGGTCGGAAGTAGGAATGGGGAACTTGGCGAGGTCGATTTCGGGTGATGATGGGGCGTCATCTCGGACGTTTTGTTGTTGTAGTGGTCGGTCATCATCTTCCAGTGGGCGTTTGTATTCTGGCTGGGGTGTTAGTTACTAACGTTGCTTGGGTTACGGTTGTGGATGACAGTGGGACGGTTCAAAGAGCGGGTGTATACCGTACCAACAAGCCTCACCGTCCCTGGCGGCGTAGCGGCTTTCACCTCATCTTTTGATAATGCAAATGCATATTTCCAGCCAGGCATATCGTTGCTGAGAGCGATGTCGCAGCTGTTAGGTCTGTCGGGTCCCCTGGGGTATTTCGGCCTGGTGGTGTTAGAGGCGGCGGCGGTCAACTGCTGGAGTATGATGTCGTCGTCTTCTTTTCGAGCATTGGCTGGATCTAAACCTGCCCACCGTAGGCGACTCGCGGAGTCAGTCTGGAGAAGAGAGCTGTATCTGGGGCCAAAGGTAATCATCCAAGGTCAATCACAAAAATTCAGGTATCTTGAAAGGGTATCATCTCCCCTCGAGGGGAAGAGGTGATCGAGGGAGAGGAAGAAGGAAGGAGGAACAACACTTCTCTCACGCTTGTTATCTTTGTGCCGTCACAATGGGGGGCACCAGCTTCAATGATCTCGATTAGACAGTGGAGGATGTCGATATGGGCTGACAGGTGTGGTTGTGAGGTGTTAGTTACGAAACCCATCGTATCCTTAGGTTGCCGTCCACTGTGACAGTTGTTGGCACGTGGACATCATGTCAACCTCGGGCATATCGGAAGCACGAGTGCTATGACCATGCATCTGGCATGCCGATGTCTGCGTTGCAGCAAGTGAGGTAACCTCGTCCCAAGAGCAACAGGCCATTTGTCCAAGTCTTCATAAATCGTCCCCTTGTTAGCGTGATTGTACCAGTTGTAATTCAATCGAAGATTTTAAGATGGCTAACATGAAAATGTGAATGCCACCGTGAACGTCACTCATCAAAGACTTCAAAGTGGACAGACCTTTCTCCAGACTGGTGGTGTTGCTAAGAGACAAGCCTGACACGACGGATGATATCTGCGTTAGCTGCTCAGTTGAACCGCTTATGGTATGGATCCGGTGTTTCTTGCTATACCTTTCCCTTGAGGGCGCCAAACGCGCGGATGAAGAGAAGACAAATCGGTCTTTGTACAAGCCCGAGATGGGCATAAGTGATGAAGTTGACGAGTAACGAGCTGATGTTCTTTTATAATAAGAGGCACGACACTTGACGAGCAGCATGATTGGAACGAAACTGATTGAAGAAACTGAACACCGGACACGACTATGAGAGGAGGAAGAAACCTTCTCATGCGGGGACTAGGGCCCATCGATGTTTTGTATGCCGTGAGACTCATCCCCAAACCAAGCGTCGAGAAAAGACGCATGCCGTCATCTATCGTGCCAATTCCACAGGCTGGGAAAGAACGCTTCACTTGAAGCTAGAGAGCTGATACGGGCTGTCTCAAACGAGGGCGACGAGCGTCGTTTGTCGAACTGGTGGTTGTTTTGAGTTTCATCAATTGTGCATGCCAGGGAGCTTGGGGTGTTGAAAAGCGCCAATGGTCCTATGAGATAAAGACACTGAAGCGATGCAGATGGAAGACCAAAGGACCGAGTTGTTGAAGGGTTGAAGTCCGCCACTTTGCAAGACGTTCTGAAGACCGAAGTCACTCCGGGATACCCATGTTAGCGCGCATCTCCGACTCCGGGGGTGAAGCGGGATCCACCGGTAGATCGCCGGCCGGAGATGGCTGGTCCGGATCAATAGGGCTGAACTTACTACCATAGACGTGATGGGCAACCTCCTCTTAACCGTCATATTCACGCGAACGTATCGACACTGGACCACCTGAACAAATAAAAACCTGTATTATTTTCCACAACTTTCCCCCCTTTTCCTATCTTTTTATATCATATCATCAACCCCCTACCACCCATCCCTCTTTGCCACTTCCCTGAATCCTCAAAGGGACCACGCACTCAAAGGAACTCCTCCAAATTAACCTCCAAAACACTAACCGGGTATCTCAGATCAAACTTCTCCAGCACGCTGGGGTGGAGGACACCAAACTCCCCGACGCGCTTCGTCTTTCCTCCCAAGCGCAAATAAATCGCCGCCGCCCTCCCCTGGAAGAAAGTCGGCTCGTCAATCTCCTTGATGAAATACCCATTGCCCTTTTCCTCGCTGGGGTTCTCGACGACCTTGAAATCAACGCTCTTGCCGTGGAGGTCCTCCTCGTGCGTGACGAAGCTGACGCGCAGCATGCTGAGGATTCTGTCCAGAAGACCGTGGACGACTTCGAAACCCGAAGTCTTGCCGTAAAAGGCGGCAGCGAAGTGGCGCTCGTTGCGCGCCTTGCGCTCTTTGGTCTCGTCTTTCAGAGCAATGTCGGCGACTTCGGTGATCTTGAGAGGTAGGCGCACGGACTTGTTCTCGCGCAGGGTCTTGAGGAGACCGGGCAGGAGAGAGGTGCGCACGACTTGGTACTCGACAGACTTGGGGTTGGCGAGCTTGATGGCGGTTTGGCCGTCGTCGACGCGGTTGAGCCACTCAAAGTTCTCTTCGTGCGAGCAGAGGATCAGAGGCATGACTTCGATCCAGCCGGCCATGGCGCACTCGTTGCGCACAATGTCGGAGACCTTGTTGATCAGCAGGGGCTTGCCGATGGTGGAGGCTTGGTTGGGGAGGTGCGCGGGAGGTTGTTGTAGCCGTAGGCGATGGCGACATCTTCCATCTGTGACACAAAAAGTTATTAGGTGCTGTAACATAGATTAAGGGGTTCACGGGTGTACATACCACATCGCAGGCGTGCAACACATCGGCACGGGTAGGAGGCACGGAGACCTTGATGAGCTTATCATTCTCCTTGTCGGGGACAGCAGTGTAAGCCATCTTGCCGAGTAGCTTGCACAAGGCCTCGGGCGACTCTTGCAGACCGCAGCACTGGTTGAGGTAGTCAACCTCGACGTCCATGACACGGGTGTGCAAGCTGGGGGTGACGCGGGTGGTGCCGTTGTGCTCGGACACAATCTTGACGGGCTCGATGGTGAAGGGCTCGTCGCAGTACTTGGAGAACATGGCGACCATGATGTTGCAGACAATGTCGAGCTTGGTCTGATCGGTGGCGGTGATCTCGATGAAGACGTTCTTGGTGTCGAGGGTGATCTTGGAGTGGTCGCTGTTGATGATGGGCGGCAGCGAGCAGACGGTCTTGTTGGCGTCGAAGATGACGGGGTAGACGGGCTTGTCGCGGATGATGTGCAGGTAGCGGCCGAGGTGCTTGTCGGCCTCGTAGAACTGCATCAGCTCCTCGCCGTTCATCTTCTTGGTCTGGTTGAGGGGGACGAAGCTGATGTCCTTGGGGGCGAGGGCCTCGTAGGTGAAGGGGCCCTGGACGGTGTCGAGGTCGTGGGTGCCGATGGAGACGAGGGTTCTTTGCCTGGCCAGGTTCTGGTGAAGCTTGTCCTGGAGGCCGATGAAGGACTCGTATCTCTCGGGAGTGAACTTGATGTTGCGCAGGATGGCGCCGGCGACGTAGGGGCGGACCTTTTCGCACTCCGGGCTAACGGTGATCTTCTGCATCTTGTCCTCGGGGATGTCGAGCAGCTTGAAGTCGGGGGTGTTCTGCTTGCCGCGGAAGATGTTCAGGTACATGGCGATGCCCTCGAAGCAGAGCATGTCGTAGCGGTTGGCGGGAATCTCGATGGCCAGCTCGGGGGCCTGGTCCTTGGGGCGCGTCTCATCCTCCTCAGTGTCCTTGTCGAGCTCGATGCCGAACTCGAAGCAGAGCTGTTGGAAGGTGTCGGGAGTGAACCTGTAGTGGTGGTTGGCGCAAAGCAGCGCGTGCGTGTAAGTGGTTGTGGTCTGGGTCAAAACACCATGGCGGGGTAACCCGTGATAATAATTAAAAGAGACAAGACTTACTGCTCGCCAAGCTCCTCAAAGAGGCGGTACTTGTCGACGTTAATGGTAGGCATGTTGGACTAATTGGGGTCGTCAAGTCTTGGGAGAAAAGGACTGGACTGGGAGATTGGCGCAAAGACGGAGAACGGAGAACGGAGACGGGGGAGGGACGGGGCGGAGGATCAGAGGAGTCGCCGCAATGCTAGGCAATCAGTCAATCAATCCACTTGGAACTTTTCGAGACGAGACACCACTGCAACGGCCGCGACCCGAATCGACTTGGGAAGTTGGGGGACCAGCCCAGCTCCATAGCGGCCGACCGCCCGCCCCCAGTCCCGGTCCGGCAACGGATGACTCAAAATCCACGGGCGGTACCAGGAATGCCGCCTTTCACCGCTTTCCCTTTTGGCTGCCGACTGAGTCAACCCCACCACCCCACCGGATTAAGTCACACAAGCACATAACCCTAACCCTCTATTTCCTCGTATCGTCTCCCATCATCTTGTCCCCCTTTCGTCTTGTTGACACTCGTCTTCGTCTTTTCCAATTATGGACTGGCTGAGAAAGAACTATTTCATCAGGATGATAGAAAATGATTAAATATTGGCCCAATGATTTGAGAGTCAGTCAACGTATCTCGGCGGGAGATATCCAGCAGCTATACGCAAGCTTCGCGACATCAACAGTCACAAGCACCGAGCTCGACACCATCACATATTTCAACACAATCATGAACCAAATGGTCGTTTAATTCTTTATTCACCTCCGTCATCCCCTAACCCCTGCTTCACCTCCCAGTAGTGTGCCTCCCACTCTGCTTCACACTACCTCCAAGTTCATAGCTCATAATATTGTACAAAACCCCCTTCAATTCTGCCCGTATGCGGGTGCGTGTGTGTGTGCTTTCGACAAAGTTGCCATTGATAATTGGCATCCCCTCCCTCCTCCCGGTACATAACATAATTGGCACTCAATCGGCCGGATGAACAAGGACAAAAACAGCAGATAGCCACCCAAGATAAGTTAAGAGAAAACCCTGTACATGAGACACTGTATGACATGACGTGACATGACCGATAACACAAATGATGATGATGGGAAATGGTATACGCAAGAAGGGGTATTCAAGACGACAGGAAAACCAGAAAATCCGAGCTGAGGCTGCGCTGCAGCTATCCTATCCAAAATGTTGAACTCCAAACGAGGTTCATCGAGAAGAGAAGAACAGAAAATATGACAGTGATGAGTGTACATGGTGGTTTATGTAAAGACCCTAGTGTATCGTTGATGGTATATGACGAGCAGATGGTATATGCAAAACAGAGAAGGGGAATCCAAAAACCAAAGCGACAAGAAAACTCCCAAAAAAAAAAAAGAAATTCAACTCAAGAGGAGATCGCAACGACAGCGTGCCGGACAAACTTCCAGAAGTAGTCCGGCTTTTATCCAACAGCACACGCACACGCACACGCATACGCGCCACGACGGACACAGATAGGCTAGGCATTAAAGCCCATGCCTTAACTCACACCGCCCCTAGGCCCAAAACATCAACGCATCTGCTGCGCCATAAAAGTCTTCGCCAACTCATCCCCGCCGCTCTCCGCCGCTCCCATCCAATGGATGGCCAAACACATCAACGCCGGATCGCTCCTGACATCACCCATCCCCATTCCTGCAAACCTCGAGCCCTCATCTGAACTGCTTCCACCTGGACCAGACCTTCCACCACCGCCGCCGTACTTGTCAATGACAGCTTGTTTGAACACCTCCCGC